GGGGTCCACGCTGTCGACGCTGAGGCGATCGACTGGTCGGCCGTCGCCTCGGTGATGCATCGCATCCCGCCGTCCTGGCGCAGCGCTTGCATTAAGACGTGGGGAGGGGGCTGGATCACGGAGTCTAGGATGCGCAACCCGTATAGGCGGTGCGTCTGGGGCTGTCCTGGGGCTCGCGACTCTTTAAAGCATTATTTCCGTTGGTGCGACCCGATGTATATGCTCGCCCGTAGGCAATTAAGAGCTGACCTCCCCGCGCCCCCGTTTTTGGACCCCCTCCTGGCTCTGGGACTGATCCACCCCGCCCCCGAGACGTTCAAATTCTTCACGCTTCGCGTATCCCCACCAGCCCATCTCAAAACTGCAACTCTTGCGAAGCATGCCGACAGTCGTGTTTTTCAGGCGTGTTTCCGCCTGCCCCCGCATATCTCCGGGCCTATCGTCCTGGTGTGAGTCGTTCGGGCCCTTCTTCCTGGTGTGAGTCGTTCGGGCTTTTCGTCGTGGTTTGAGTCGTTCGGGCTCTTCGTGGTGTGAGTCGTTCGGGCCCCTCGTCCTGGTGTGAGTCGTTCGGGCTCCTCGTGGGGCCTCTTGGGGGCCTCTTGGGGGCCTCTTGGGGCCTCGTGGGGCCTCTTGGGGGCCTCTTGGGGGCCTCTTGGGGGCCTCGTGGGGCCTCGTGGGGCCTCTTGGGGGCCTCTTGGGGGCCTCTTGGGGGCCTCTTGGGGCCGCTTGGGGGCCTCTGGGGGGCCTCTTGGAGGCCTCTTGGGAACCTCCTGGGGGCCTCTTGGGGCCATCTTGGGGCCTCTTGCGACTTCCTCAGAAGCGCAAGTGAGAGCTGCCCCCTGAGAAGGACAAAATGAGCCCAAAACCTTTGTAAAATCAATGATTTTGCTATGAGGGAAGATGAGCGCGGCCCCCTCAGAAGGCCCAAATGGGGCCAAAACCCTCGTACAATCAATGATTTCTGCTTCAAAGACGAGCAGAAGGGGCCAAACTCCCCCCCCCCGTCGGGGCCAGAATCCTCGTGAGGGTCGTCGTTTTTTGGCCTTCCGAGGAGTCGAAATGGACCCCCCTGACACCACCCTGGACTCCGTGTCCAGGTCCAGGGGGAGGGGGTAGGGGGAGGGGTAAACCCCTCCCCGAAGGGGAAGAAGGGGGGTTGAGGACAGAGAGAGCTCTCTAAACCACTCACGCCCGAAAGGGCTGGTGGGATTCACCGCTTTTTATTTTCATCTCTATCGGTTGGCACACCAAGAGAGTAAAGCCCACTCGCCCCCGTTCTCTCAGGAGGCCGCCCAAAGCCTGGCGCGAGCCGCCCTCCGAGCCGTCGAACTGCCCCTCGGCCAACCGGGTCGTCTGTGGCGTCGTCGGCAGTAGAGTGGTTGAAGACGTTGCCCCCCAGACGCTCCATCTCCTCCTCCTCCTTCCCCCCTCCCCCCTCCTCCTCCTCCTCCTCCTCCTCCTCCTCCTCCTCCTCCTCCTCCTCCTCCTCCTCCTCCCCATCACCCAGTCATATTCAAGGCCGCCACTTAGGTTACGATATGTTAATGGTGATGAGGAAGATGATGATGATGACGATGATGATGATGATGCAGATGATGATGATGATGATGATGATGATGATGATGATGATGATGATGATGATAGCGATGATGATGCTGACTACGACGACGATGATGATGGTGATGATGATGAGGGTGATGCTGATTATGCTGATGTTGATGCTGATGGTGATGATGAGGATGATGATGTTGAGGAGCAGGATGGTGTCGTTGTTGATGATGCTAACAACACTACTGCTGCTGCTGATGATGATGGTGATGATGATGCAGATGCTGATGCTGATGCTGCTGCTGCTGATGATGATGATGATGATGCTGATACTAAGGGGGGGGGCGCGAGAGGATATAGCAAGGGCCCGTTCTTGCCCAGATTGCGGGGATGTCTCGAGCAGTTTGCCTGTTTGTGCCTTAACACCCCCCGTGTTCGGAGCAGATTCTGAGGATGGGCGAGGCGCTGGTTTTCGCTCCCAAAGGGGGGGGAGGCAAGGGGCATTGCACGGGCCCGTTCGTGCCCAGATTGCGGGGATGTCTCGAGCGGTTTGCGTGTCTTGTGCCCCAGCACCTTCCGCTTTCGGAGCAGATTCTGAGGCTGTCTCGGGCGAACAGTTGGTTTTCGCACCCCAGGGGGGGATTGGGAGGACGTCTCGGGCGGTTTGCTTGTTTCTGGCCATACTCGTCTGCGTTCAGAGCAGGTTATGAGGATGTCTCGGGCGAGGCGTTGTTTTCAGCACACCCAATGGGGAGCCGCCCGGGGGAATCTCATTTCTCCGTTCGCGCCCAGATTGCGGTAATGTCTCGAGCGTTTTTGCTTCAACATCCTCCGCTGTCGGAGCAGAGTTTGAAGACGTTTCTGGCGAGGCGCTGGTTTTCGCACCACAGGGGGCCCAGATTGCGAGATTGTCTCGAGCAGTTTGTTTTTTTGGTGGCCAGATTCGTCTGCGCTCGTAGCTGGTCCTGAAGGATGTTTCGGGCGAGGCGCTGGCTTCCGCACCCTAGGGGCTCCAGATTGTGAGGATGTCTCAGACTCACTTGTGCTCAAAGTCACTCGTGCTCAGACTCACTAGCACTTAGACTCGTACTCACAATACTCTTACTCAGACTCACTCACACTCAGACTTGCGCACACTTAGGCTCACTCATACTTAGACCCACCCGCAGTCAGACTCACTCGTAGTCAGACTCGCTCGTACCCAGATCATTCAGACTCAGACTAAGACTCATCATACCCAGGCAGACTCACTCACATTCAGACTTGGTCATACTCAGAATCGCTCACACTCAAACCCACCCGTTGTCATCTTCATTCGTAGTCAGACCCACGGTCAGATCGACACCCAGACTCACTCTCACTCAGACTCACGCGTACCCAGACTCAGGCATTCTCAGACCCACTCGTGCCCAGACTCTCATACCGAGAATACGGACAGCCACACTGAACCATGCCCGGTTTCATTTACATTCAGAGTCGTTCACGCTCACATCACCCATGCTCAGATTCACTCATTTATCTCTCCTTTGGTGGTCCAATGCCCCCTGGCTCTTCCACTGGTGCTTCCTTCACCTCTCCTGGAAGATGCCCAGAGAAGGGGGACGTCACTGACTTCGTCGCGCCTGTCGTCCACGCCGACTCGCCTTCACACCCAGGTGCTTACACACAGAGTTCTTCAGCGAGGCGTGAAAGGAGTATGGGCTGCATCATATGGGGAGCTCCACGCAATGAATGATTCGGGAACGGCTTCGTGCTCAAACTGGGCCCTTGACCCCCGAGCTACAACAACCACGGCTCCCGCCTGATATCTCCTCACAAGTGAAGCCGAGATCGCTCTTTCGCGTGGGACGTCTTCGCGAATTATGCATGAATCGCGCTCTCGCGTGGGATGTCCTCACAATGTATTTAGACGCCGTGCCTTCGACACTCATGAAGCACGCGCTCGTGCTCGAGATTTCTTTCCTCGCGATTCATGTAGGACTCACGCTTCAGCAATCCACCTGCTCGATCTGGCCGCATGGGCCCGCCTTCCCGACCCGCCCGCTAGGGTCTGCCCGCCCGATTTGCCTGGCTGGTTCTGCCACGTGTTTTCTGCTCGCAGCCCCCAACCCTGCTAATTTCTCTCGTGCTCCATCCTTCTCCCCCCCTTCCATCCGTCCTTTCTTCCACGGTTTTGGGGGCTGCGCGAAATGCGCGTGGCAGGTACGGAAGATACACCCCCAAGGGGCTACGATCCAAGACGAAGAGGGCGCCGGGTACCGAGGGTTTGGGACATACATGTTGAATGGCACGCGAGCAGATATGATCGACCAGTCTTAACATGATTGTTGCTGCTGTTGTTGCTGTTGGTGCTGGTGGTGCTGCTGTTGTTGTTGTTGTTGCTGTTGTTGTCGTTGTTGTTGTTGCTGTGGTTGGTGTTAGGTTTGTTGATGATGTTGTTGATGCAGATGAGGATGAGGATCAGGATGCTGATGCTGATGATGGTGATGATGATGCTACTGCTGCTGATGATGATGCCACTGATGATGATTATGATGATGATGTTGATGCTGATAATTCTTGTGGAGATGATCATGACGCTGATGCTGATGATGACGATCATGCTGATGATGGTTATGGTGATGCTGATGACGAGCATGATGACGATGCGGATGCTGTTGTTGTTCTTGATGATGTTGGTGCCAAATACGAAGGAATTCCACTAACGATTTGGATGACGATGCTGATGACGATGATGATGGCGATGATGACAATTATGATGACTTGCTGATGCTGATAATGATGCTGACGATTATAGTTATGCTACTGATGATGGTTAGGATGATTCGGATGAGGATCATGATGTTGATATCGATGATGATGATGATGATGCTGCTGAGGAGGATGCAGATGATGATGATAATGATGATGCTGATGATGATGGTGGTGGTGGTGGTGCGCATGACTCAGTTGGTAATGTCGTTGTTGATGATGATGATGATGATAATGATGATGATGGTGATGGTGATGGTGGTGCTGATGTTGATGATGATGATGATGATGCTGGTGCCTGTGATGCTGCTGCTGATGGTGATGATGATCATCATCATCACCATGATGGTGGTGGTGGTGGTGGTGGTTGATGTGGTTGTTTTGATACTGCTGCTGCTGCTGATGATGGTGACGGTGGCGATGCCGCTGTCGCTGTTGATGACGGTTATGACTATGATGATGATGATGATAATGATGATGATGCTGATGATGATGATGATGATGATGATGATGATGATGATGATGATGATGATGATGAGGAGGAGGAGGAGGAGGAGGAGGAGGAGGAGGAGACGGAGGAGCAGGAGGAGGAGGAGGAGCAGGAGAATGAGGAGGAGGAGGAGGAGGAGGAGGAGGAGGAGGAGGAACGAGCGGGACAGCCAGCCATCTCGCATGCCTTGCCACCACTAGCAAGCGGGGGCGTCGGATTCGATGTGTGAGACATCGAGTTTTGCTGCCCTTGGAGCACAGAGAACGCGTGAGCCTCACCTCTCGTTGTTCGGCGTCGCTCCCTCCTGTGGTGCTCACGACCGGCGTGCACTTTTGCCGGCAGAGCGCTTCTGGCTCGCGCTGCTCTCGGCGGCCTCTTGTGCATTTCATTCGGGGGCGGAGGAGTCATTTTCTTAACATCCTCCTCCTTTTCCTCCTCTGCCTCCCCGTGGTCGTTGTCGTCGTTGTCGTCGTCATCATGCTCCCCCTCCCCCCCTCCTCTCAGCGATCTGGGCTGGACAAGGCCCCTTTCCCGGTCTCGTCCTATTTCCTCCCTCTCGCCTCCCCCTTCCCCTGCTTCCTCCTCGTCCGTCCCCCTCTTTTTCCTCCTCTTCCCCCTTCCTTGTTCAGCTCCTCTTGGGTCATCTCCTCCTTCTGCCCCTCCTCCAGAGATCTGGCGGGCTCGTGCTCACGAGCCAGTTTGGCTCAAGCCATGTTGGCTCAAGCGCGGGCCCGTGCCCCTCTGCTCGCAGAGGGCAGAACGCTCGGAGCCGCGCAGCGAGTCGACCCCGCAGAGTGCGTCGCCCACGCGTCGCCCTCCCTCGGAGCCGCTCAGGGACGATGCACACATAGAGTGGGGACCCATGCCAATGAACATCTTGCTTGCCTCCAGGGTGCCCTGAGTTTCTTGGGTTTCTATGGTTCTGCGATGGAGAAAGCGTGACGTTCCCACCTCCAAAAATCAACGGACGTCCTGGGGTCTCAGCGGTGGCCTTCTTGTGGAAGGTTTATCGTGGACTGACCTCCACTGTATGTTGATTCTGAGACGCAACGACAGCAACGCACCAGCAAAGGCATGGCAAGCCGTGCTCAACGAACCCGCGGCCCTGAGCCTCCGCATCCTCTGTGCGCTGCCTCGCGCTGGGGCTGCCGAGCTGGCCTCGGCCGCTGCGGCGCGTGCAGCACCACGCCTCGAGGCAGTCGGCCCTCCCGGTCTGCCGATCGGAGCAGCCAGCAGCGTGGTTTGGCACGACTCGGCCTCCCCCGCCCCCCTGGGTGCGTGGACTCGTCTTTCTCCTCGCGTTTCTTCTTGTGTCCTCCTCTCCTCCTCCTCGTCCTCCTCCTCCTCCATCATCGTTCCTCCTCCTCCTGCTCCTCTTCCTCCCTGTGCCTCCTTCTCATTCCTCCTCCTCCTCCTCCTCCTCGCCCTCCCCCTCCTCCTCCTCCTCCTCCTCCTCCTCCTCCTCCTCCGCCTCTGCCTCTTCCTCCCTCCTCCTCCCTCCTCCCTCCACCTCTTTTCCTTGTCGCGCCTCGCTCCCGCTCCTCCCCTCCTCCTCCTCCTTCCTCGTCCTCGTCCTCGTCCTCCTCCTCCTCCCCCTCCTCCTCCTCCTCCTCCTCCTCCTCCTCCTCCTCCTCCTCCCCTCCTCCCCCTCCTCCTCCCCTCCCTCTCCTCCTCCTTCTCCTTCCCTCCTCCTTCTCCTCCTCCTCCTCCTCTCCACTTCTCCTCCTCCTTCTCCTCCTCCTCCTCCCTCCTCCTCCTCCTCCTCCTCCTCCTCCTCCTCCTCCTCCTCCTCCTCCTCCTCCTCCTCTCCTCCCCCTCCTGGCGCGAGGAGCACGACCACCGCACCGACCAGAAGACGCACCTGGGGCCCCGCGGGGGCGAGCCCCGCCGCGTGTTCGTGGGGAGGCAGGCGGGCCGGTCCCCGCGCCGGGGGGAGCGGCACCGATGACCTGCCCACAGGGTGCTGGCGGCGAGCACAAGGGGGTAGGCCTTAGACGGAGACTGCGTCCCAGGATGTGCCTGCCTCACATATGTAGACAGGGCCCGCGCCTTGTAAGAAGCACGGGTGCTTCTAAAAAGCCTCCCCCCCTTCCCCTACCCCCCTCTGCGCGTGGCCGTGAGTGGGGAGGGAGGGGAGGGAGTGAGGGGGGTGCATGGGCCCAGGGATCCAGCGTGCTGCCAACGATCAAAGGGCGGAGGTTTCTTCACCGCTGTCGGCTTCTGGAGAGGCCGTCGCTGGGTCCCGAGGCCGTCAACCAGGCGTCTCCGGGGAGCGGCACCAAGGAGGGGGGAGGTCGGGCAGCGACTAGGGAGGGAGGGAGGGTGGCAGGGAGGGAGGGAGGGAGGAGGAGGAGGAGGGAGGAGGGAGAAGCGAGGAGGGCGGAGGGAGGGAGGAGGGAGGAGGGAGGAGGGAGGAGGAGGAGGGAGGAGGAGGAGGAGAAGGGAGGGAGGGAGAAGGGCGGAGGGAGGAGGGATGAGGGAGGAGGGAGGAGGGAGGAAGGGAGGAAGGAAGGGAGGGAGGGAGGGAGGGAGGAGAGGGGAGAGGAGGAGGAGGCGGAGGAGGAGGAGATGATGAGGGAGGAGGAGGGAACGAGAGAGGATGAGGACGAGGAGGATAAAAAGGAGGAGCTGGACAAGGGCGACTGGGAGGGGGGAAGGGATAGCGGCAGGGGAGGGGAAGTTGCATGAAAGACGAGGGAACGGGGGGAAGGGGGATGGAACGGGAGCGGTGAGGGGATGCAGAGGATAAAATGGCAGGGAGGGGATGGGGGATGGGGGAGGGGGAAGATGGAGGGGGAGTGAGCAGGGGAGGGGAGGGCAGGGGAGTGAACGGGTGGAAGTGGAGGGGGAGAGGGAGTGAACGGGGGAAGTGCAGTGAAGGGCAGTGAGCAGGGGGGGTCTCCGCATCCTCCCTTCTCCATCGCTCTGCCTGCAGCCTCCTGGAACCCCTTGGGATCTCGAAGAACCTCGTCGTGCCCCTTAGACATGTGTGCACAACTGCTAAAGCCTCTTCTTCTCCTCCTCCTCCTTCTCCTCCTCCTTCTTCTCCTCCTCCTCCTCCTTCTCCTCCTCCTTCTTCTCCTCCTCCTCCTCCTCCTCCTCCTCCTCTCCCTCTTCCTCCCCGTTTTCCTCGTCCTCTTCCTCTTCTGGGTGGGGGCACGCCACCCTCTTCCTATTTTGGATGGGAAGGAATTATAATGCTCCTTTCCCTCCCTTCCTCTCCTCCTCCTCCTCCTCCTCCTCCGCCTCCTCCTCCTCCTGCTCCTCCTGCTCCTTCCTCTCATCATTCTCATTCCCCCTCCTACCTCTCCCGCCCCTGCCTCTTTCCTCTCTTCACCTCCCCTTCGCGTCTGGTGTTTCCATACCGTCCATTCGAATTTCCCGCCCTGCGTCATGTCTGGCTACCTTCAGAACCTGTTGTCGAACAGGAGTTGCGTCCTCGACCCGACGACGCTCCGCCGTGCTCTTCTGCGCCGTGGTACGCGTTGGGCGGTCGGCTTCCGGGCGCTTTGTAACTGCTGGAACGCCAGCCGCCGCATGCAGCGTCGCATGGAGTGCGCGTTCGGTTGCGGAGCTGCCGAGGACAGCCCTCGACACTATGCTTTTTGCCCGGAGGTTGCGTCGCCGATTTTAGCCGGAGGCGGTTGGACCTCCTCTCCACCCCCCCTCCGGAGCGTTTGTCTTCTTTTCTCCTTTTGACCCCGCTGCTCCGCGAAGACGGCCAGTGAACTCGTTTGACGCGCCCGTGCTGCATATGCGGTGTACGCTGCGGTAGCCGCCGCGCGCCACGGGCAGAATGCCGACGCGCAGGAGGCCTTGACGCAGTACGCGCGCGAGGCCTGTGCGTCACACGCTGGCTTGGCGAATTTAGCAGCTGCTGTGTGGGCTAGTTGACTCGTCCCTCTCCGTCCTCCCCTCTGCCAGTTGGTTTCGTAGTCGCTTCGCCGTCGTCTGCGTCTAGCCGCTTGCCACTCGCATGCAGATGCAGTGCCTTCTTTGAGAGTGCTTCCCGCTGTAGAAACTAGCCTTGGTCCTCTGCGCCCACGGCCATGGCTGGTCGTGGTAATTCATGGCGGACTGCGGTCGCCCACCCACGGCGGAGACTTTGCAGGTCACGTGCAGATTCGTCTCTCCTCGCCTCTCCTCTCCTCGCCTCGCCTCTCCTCTCCTCGCCTCGCCTCGCCTCGCCTCGCCTCGCCTCTCCTCGCCTCTCCTCTCCTCGCCTCTCCTCTCCTCTCCTCTCCTCGCCTCGCCTCGCCTCTCCTCTCCTCTCCTGGCCTCGCCTC